GGGAGGCTCTGGGGCCAGCAGCTTGGCTTCTGCCTCGGGTGTCAGGTACTCCAGGTGGTGGTGGCCCCAGATAGGAGTGGTCAGGAGCTGCCAGCGCTGCGGGGATGTCATGTCAGCACCCGGGGACAACAGCACCAGGGAACACCCTGAACCCGGCGCCGTGCATCCCCCAGTGTGCAGGGATGGAACAGAGGTGGGGACTGGGATGGGATTTGGATGGGGATGGAGGAACAGGGAAGAGACTGAAATGGGATTGAGACAGGGAGAGGAATAGCATGGGGACAGGGGTGGGACCGAGATGGTGATGGGATTAGTGCAGTGATGTCAGCAATAATGGGATTTGGGTGAGGTTGGGAGTGAGACAGTGATGGGGACAGGGAGAGGATTTGGGTGGGGATGGGGATGAGACTAGGATGGAGAAGGGATTTAAATGGGATTGAGAAAGGGACTGGGATTGCATGGGGACAGGGATGAGGACAGGGATGGGAGAGGGATGGTGACAGAGACAGGACAGGGATGGTGACAGAGACAGGATTTAGATAGGAGTGAGAGTGGTAGGGATAGGGACAGGGATGGAATTTGGATGGGGATGGGACTGAGACAGTAATGTGAGCAAGGATGGGATTCAAGTGAAACAGGGATGGGATTTAGATAGGAATGAGACAGTGATGGGGACCAGGACGGGATTTAGCTGGGGATGGGACAGAGATGACAATGTGGACAGTGCTGGGATTTGAATGGGGATGGGACTGAGATGTGGACGGGACTGAGAGGGGGATAAGGACAAGGATGGCCAGGATGGGCTGGGGATGGAAGCAGGAGGGTGCCCGCTGTGCTGCCCTCACCTCGCGGAAGGAGCCTTTGCAGCGCAGGAGCTTGTAGATGACGGTGCAGGGGATGCAGAGCATGGAGGAGAGAGCCAGGACCCAGCCGATGGCATCCCCCCACCACGGGTACACGTATGTCTTGTTGTAGGTCAGCGGCTTGTAGTTCACCACGTGGAACACGAAGATGCCCTGGTCGGAGGAGGGGGGTGAGGTCCCACAGGGCAGTGGTCCGGTGGCCCCCACGTGTGGCTGCCCGTGGCCCTGACACGCATGTCACCCTGCGGCTGCGGCATGTGTGTCACCCTGTGTCCCCAACACGCGTGCCGCCCTGTGGC